GTAGCAGGTCATTCTCCAGCTTTAAAAAACCCTTCTTTGCCTTCAGGATAAAACATCATTGTCAGCCTTCTCTCTCCACTCTTCCTAACACTACCCTTAGTCCCCAGGATGGCCTGTGTCTTGGTGACCTTGCTCCCACCAAACTCCCCACCTGGACTGCCTTCCATGCTATTCACTGGCTCTACAAACCTTGCTTGATACCTTCTGAGACCCCTTCCTTTGGGTCAGGCCCTATGCTGGGTACTGCTGGTGCCAGGGTTCCCTCTGCTTAGAGTACCAGAACTGAAATTGCCTTGGAACTCTAACTGAGAGCTGGGAATAGAGAATAGACTGAGGCAGCCAGTGTTTGTGTGTATGTGGTGGAGGGACTGACTCACACTCCCTTTTGCCTAGGCTCAGTGTCCACCTTCAGGGAAGCTTACATAGGGCTCTGAGAAGAGGAACTCAGATGGGAAGGCCTATTCCTTCTCCTAACTTAATGTTGCTGGTTTCCACCATATGATGTAGGACCATAGTTGAGCTTCTACCTCTCTGAGACTCCACTGTCCTGAATGGAAATGGGCTTGATCAATGGTTCCCACTTTGGTTATGCAGCAGAATCACCTGGATAGCTTTTCAAACTATGACGATACTTCAAAAACTTCATCGAAAACTGGAACTGAAAGATTATGGATTTTTTCCCATGAACTCTTTGACATCCCCTCATAGATTCCTAGATTACAACCTCAAGATTCCGGAGCTGTGAGACTTGTAATCTGGGAATCACATGTAAAATAAAATATCCCCCAGTTTGAGAAACCCAGAACCAGGAATCTAAGGGCCTTTCCAGCTCCAATTCTAATTCTTAGAGTCTCTGGAGAAGTCTCCAGGCTCCCAATCAGAAGGAGCCAGCCTCTCTTGCTGCCCTCTTCAAGTGGTTCAGGTCCCCTAGCCATACCTGAAAATGCTCTAACATCAAAAGCAATCTCTTTGATTGAGATAGTGTCAGGCCTCAAGTTCTGCAACCTATCCAGCATTTAGGACATTCTGGCCTCAACTCTAAAGAATAGGGTAACAAAAATAGTGTATATATTCACTGCCATCATTCTGGCCTCAACTCTAAAGAATAGGGTAACAAAAAAAGTGTATATATATATTCACTGCCATCAAGTTGATTCCAACTCAGCGACTCTAGGGCTGGGTAGAATTGCTCCGGGTTTCTGAGACCGTAACTCTTTTCAGAAGTAGAACATCTCTTCTTTCCCCTGCAGAGCAGTTGGTAATTTCAAACTGCTGACCTTGCAGGTAGCAGCCCAATATGTAACCATTATGCTAGCAGGGTCCAGCTGAAAAATTGGGTAAGACCCTCCCCAAATTCCTATAAACACATCTATACTCAGGAACCCCTTTCTAACTCTTTCAAAGCCCTCTCTGGCATTTCACTGGATTATAACAGTAACACAATGAGACCTTACAATTTTATCAATCTGGAAAATGAACAAAATTACAAATTGCTTCTCCCATTGCTCCTCCCCCCTCAATAATCAAAAGGGAAATTAAAAGAGAAACACTTTGAGGCATTTCAAGTTTCCGCATATGGGTATAATTATTATTATTAAAAGTTACATTCTGCCCCCCGCCCCATGCCCCACCATGATGGGCTGCTGTGCCCTGAGGATGGTGATTTAATAAAGGCCTCAGCAGTCTGAGGAAAGAAGCCAGGAAACACACAGAAAGAACATGTGGGCCAACAACGCTTTAGCTCTTTAACTGAAGCTCAGGAAAACCTCTCTTATACACACACACCCTACTACCACCAATCCTGCCCTCTCTGGCACAATTATAGGTGAGTCCTGTGGGAGAGAGAAGCAGCAAGTCACTTATGTCTACCCCTGGGCTGGCTGAGCAGTGGGGGAGGTAAACCTCTCATACTCCATGCTACTGTGAATCACATGACCCTGTGCCTGCCTGCCAGGGCCTGAGTAATTCCTCGCTTCCTCTACAAAATGTTTTTCTTTCTCTCTCTCTCTCTCTCCTCTTCTCTTCTTTTTGTTCGTTCTCTCCCTCTCTCTCCGATCTCCCACCCCTTTTCATTTTAGGTCCCAGTTGCTGAGGGCTTAGACCATGGTGCAGGCTTTGCAAACTTTATCTTATATACTCCTCATGGCATTCTTTAGATGTGGAAATTGAGGTTCAGAGAAGGGAAGTTACTCACTCAGGGTCACACAGTGGGCCAGTTAGTAATAGTGGAGTGTGGCCAGGTCCTTCCCTAATAACCTTATTCCTAAACCTCACCTTAGATTAAGAGAAAGAAAGAAAGAAAGAAAGAAAGATATCTACTATACAGTGACAGAAAAGGATCCTAGGAATTTTATGTTGCCTTTTTGGGGAGGGGAGAAGGGGAGTGGTTTAGGAAGGGTCATGCGGTTTGTAATTTAGAAGGATTGGTGGGAATTCAAAGAAATACTCAGAATCAACACTATGTTGATATAGACTCCAGGAGAAGTCTATATACTGCCCAGCTCACAGACTAGAGTATTTGCAGAGTAGGAATTCAGTTGCCCTTCTCTTAGACTGAAAGTTGTGAAAGAGACGAGTTAGTCAGGGTGCAGTATAGCACCAATGAAAACATACAACTTTCCTCTAGTTCTTTAATGCTCCCCCCACTATCATGACCCCAATTCTAACTTACAAATCCAGCCAGACCAGAGCATGTACACTGCTACAGATAAGAACTTGCAACACATGGAATTCAGGACAGATAAACCCCTCAGGACCAATAATGAGAGTAGCGATACCAGGAGGGGAAGGGGAAGATGGGTGGAGAAAGGGAGAAATGATTACAATGATCTACATATAATCCCTTCCTAGGGGAATAGGCAACAGGAAAGTGGATACAGGGAGACAGTGGTCAGTGTAAGACATGGGGGGGAAAAATTATAAATTATCAAGGGTTCATGAGGGAGGGAGGATGGGGGAGGGGGAAAGTGAGGAGCTGATATCAAAGGCTCAAGTAGAAAGAAAATGTTTTGAAAATGATGATGACAACATATGTATAAATGTACCTGACACAATGGATGTATGTTTGGGTTGTGATAAAAGCCCACAGTAAAACGATTAAAAAAATTACTGAAAGCTTGTTAAATTCTCCCTTGATATTCATTCAAGGATTTATAGAGCACCTACTGTGTGTTAGTCACTGTGTTAGTTGCCCTTCTTTTAGACCACAGTAACAGAGAGTCTACTATATTCTCTCTTAATGTCTGCTCAGACATTTGTTCAATAAGGATTTTTAAGCACCTATGTCACTGTGCTAATCACTAGGGATATAATAGTGAACACAACAGATACAACCACCTTGCCCTCATGGAGCTCATATTCTACTGGGGAAAAGGCAGGTAATATACAAGTAAATACATGCAATAAGAAAATTTCAGATTGCATTAAATACCAAGAAGGAAACACAGAAGCAGCTGTCATGGAGACTCACAAGTGGCCCTACTTAAAGTGCTCAGGGAAGGTCTCTTGGAAAAGGTGACATTTGGGCTGAAACCTGAAAGATGAAGAGCAAATTAGGTGGAGAACTGAGGGAAGAACTGCCAGGCAGAGGGAAAGGGAAATGCAGACTCTGAGATATGAGTACTCGTGGTACATGTTTTGGGAGCTAAAAGAAGATGCTGCAATAAAGCAAGTGAGTAGCCCACTCCATACAATCAGTGTCTGTCAAGGGGAGCAACATTCAGGGCACAAGAGTATAGGCCTGCTGCTAGCTAATCACCTCTTGCCCCTGAAAACTCCCAGAGGATCCATCACTACCTCAAGGTCACCACCGCAGCAGGAAGCACATCTTGCCCATGGTTTACACTTCATTCCTGTTACCTGGTGCTGGGCCACAGTTCCAAAGACCTATAGAGCCCCCCAGGGGCTGAACAACTCCTTCTGGGTTTGCTCAGAGGAAAGTAGAGTCCATAATGCACTGTTCTTCCTTCACAATTCCTGAGCCCACACAGCAACATTCCCACATGGAGGAGGTCCTTCTGAACTCTTCAAGCAAGCAGTTGTCTATGGCCCCAGCCTGAACTGGAGCTGCTCCACCTCAGCAAGCCCAATTCAAATATTCTGATTTCTGCTCACAATCTCATGGCCTGTGGGTTCTCTAGCTTTTCTGTATCTGGCCTCTACCAACCTCACTTGGTATTTGTTGTCTTCCTACCCACCAGCCCCTTCACTCTGCCTCCTAGCCTGACCCTCCTAAGTCCCACCTCTTCTACTTTTCTCTTATCAGCACCTTAAACTCCCTTCTTTCCAGCCACATACACTTGGCCAAACTGCAACCTTGGATCAATCTATAATGCCTTACCCCCTTTTCGCCACTCACACTCCATGACTATTGAATACTGTAAGAGAAAATCACATAAGCAGAAGGACTGGCAGAACTTTCATGGTCTCCATCCTCAGATTGGGAAAGAGGAAAGTCCATAGACTTTGAACTCAAACAGATCTTGGCTCCACACATACAAGCTGTGTGACTGTGACCAAGTTATTTAACTTCTCTGAGCCTGATTCCTCATCTGCTAAATAGGGCTAATGACATTTCCTTCACAGGAGGATCTAAGATTTAATGGGAACACACGTTAATATACCCAGCTCAGTGCCTGGCACAATGTCGGCACTTGGCAAATATGAAACTCTCTTGTTCCCTTAACCAAACTTCATCTCTGCATTGCAATACTGTCCCTTGTTCTTGGTGCGCTCCTTCTCTCATTAGCCCCAGCAGACAGAAACGAAGGCATTTGGAGGGGCTGAGAGACACAGGGAGCAAAGAAAGGAAATGGGGACACAGGTTGAAAGGATGGAACTTAAAGCCAAGGGGTGAAGGGAAGGTGGTGGAGGTTGAGAATCCCTGAATGGCCACGATGAGCCCGCTGCCCTGGAGGTGAATCTTCAAGGGCCCGTAACCAAGAACCCGCTCCCAGTACCAGGCTGGTGGCCCAGGATCCCACGCTCTCTCGATCACTCACCAGGCCGGGGCTGCAAACCCTCCAGGTGGTAGGAAAAGCGTAGGGCCCGGTGGTGCTGTGGACTGGGCCCGCAGGGTAAAACCCGGGGGCCTGGAGCAGCCCCAGGGCTGGCTTCAGAGGGTCCGACAAGCTGGGAATCCAGGGGGCCGCTGAGAGCCGAGGCTGAGCCCCTAGGCACCAGCAGTCCAGACTCCAGGACTCCAAGGTCCAAGTCGGCAGAGGCCGGTAGAACAGCACCAGCGATATTAGCGGCCGGGTGTTCGGACTCCGAAGGCCCAGCGCCCCCCGGGACTCGGTGGCCATGCATGGTCTGGGCCTGGGCGCGGGGCCCTGGCTCCCCGCTAGGCTCCAGCTCCTGGGGCTGAGGCGCGGGCGGAGAAGGCCCAGCGCCTTGCAGATCCGTGGCCTCAGGCTCAGGGGGGTGGGGGCGGGGCTGTGGGCTCAACCCCACTGCGGAGGCACAAGCCCCCAGCCCGGGCCCGGGCCAGCCGCGGTGGCAGTAGCAGCAGCCACGGCCACTGCTGCCACGGTGCCAGGCATCGCCGGCCCGGGGCCTCGCGCGAGGAGTGGGCTCGGCGGGGCTGGGGCCCGCTAGGGAACGCAGTTCTCGGCGGCACACGCAGCGGCTAGGGCAGGGTCGACGGACTGCGCTTGTCCCGTTGGTGGAGAGCCACTTCCGTGGCCCTGGGGCGAGCAGTCGGTTGGATCAGAGTGCGGGTCTCTTCCTTCTTCCCGACTGGGAATCGATCTGGACGCTTCAGGCTGGTCAGGTTCGAAAGGGTTCTTCCTCCCGCTGCAGCGGAGGCTGAGGGTCGACGAGGAGGGGCGGGGAGGGAAGAGGAGATGGCTATAAAACTGGACGTGCGCTGAAGGCTCGCCCACAGCCAGCCCGCCACCCCACACCCAAAAGATGCTCGAGCCACAGGGACAGGAGAAAAGCCTGGGCCCAAATCCACCGTCCTCCCCAACCTCAGTCTGGGTTTCCGCGGCGGTGGGCGGGAAGGAGCCGGGGAAAGGGGGTGGGGAGGCAGGAGCTGTCGCTGAAGCAGCCGCAGCCACAGCCACAACGGCGCTGAGACCCAGTTACCGGGGCCCTGCCCCCGCCCGGGTTTTTCGCTGGGCCACGCCCCCTTACTCGGCCCTCCTCACTTCTGCGACCCCGCCTTCAAGGTCCTCCTCTACCTCTTAATACTCCCCAGCCCACGCCCGAGTTTGTCTTCCCTGTCCCACCCTGGTTCCTCACAGACAATGACTGTGAGCTCCATCCCCACCAAATATGCTTTTGGGTCCCAACTCAGGTCTTCTTCTATTCGCCCTTCAATCTCTTTTCCGGAAGCCATTCCACACGTCCCAGAGCTTCCTTAGAACTGCCTCGTAGCAGACCTGTCTTTGTTAACCCTTTACTTTGCTCAGGCAAGACATTTACTTCACCGTGATCTTGCCAACATCCCAACCTTGGAGCCAACTGTGTACCTTACCTTTGCCTGTACTCAGGAAGCCAAATACTGCTAGGGAAAACTGCTCAACTCACTATAAAATTCATGGGGCCCTGGTGACGTAGTGCATTAGGTGGGCTGCTAACCACAAGGTCAGCAGTTATAAACCACCAGCCATTCCGCAGAAGAAAGGCTTTACAGTCTCAGAAACCCACAGTGACAGTTCTACTCTGTCCTATAAAGTCGCTGTGAGTCAGAATGAACTTGATGACAGTTGTTTTTTTAAAATAATCATTTTATTAGGGGCTCATGCAACTCATCACAATCCGTACATACATCATTTGTGTCCAGCACATTAGTACATATGTTGACGTCATCATTCTCACAACACCTGCTTTCCACTTGAGCCCTTGGTGTCAGCTCCTAATTTTTCCCCCTCCCTCCC